TCTTAAAAACATTGAACTTGCATTGAGGCTTGCCAGTGTTCTTTTTGTTAATGTATGTTCTTCTTTCTCAAAATTTCAACTGTGTGCTCTGCTTAACTCAAGCAGACCAGTTTAATCTGGATTCCTTACTTGGTTTCCTTAACTATGTGTTACCTAAGTATAGTATTTTTCATATTAGCATAAATAGGTAAAAATCAAAAAAGAATTAATGTCACTCTGTGGGACCCTGGATAGTCTGCATGAGAAGTTTGCTATAGTGGAGACATACTGGCCTCTCCACACTCTCTGGTGTTTTGTGTTGTCATATGATTTCTCCATCTTACACACACTCCCACTGTGATGTCATTTGTCACTAGAACACCACCAATGGGGCCACCCAGTCTTGAACTTTCATCCTCCAACACTATAATCTTTATAAGTAAATTATAAGTGACCACTTACATTATAAGCAAACCCTTTTGTAATGTACTCAGCCTCAGGTATTTTGTTATAGCAGTGGAAAATGGATTCATGCAGGTAGTGACGCGTTTCCTTGGTTTTTCTTGTTTCTTGCTGCTGGTTGCTGATGTCTGTGCATTTGCTGAAGTGGTTGCCTCTTCCACACGTCATGGACTGGTTTGGGGGGGGGCAGAGCTTGACCTCCAGGTGGGTGCAAGGGCACTGACCAGGCGGGGTGTTTGATTAGTGCAGCTCTGTCCACCCAGATCAGCACTGGTGACGGCTGTGGAGTCCTCAGCACCACTGTGTGTGTTTGCAGCAGCAGAAGGGGACGTTCAGGCCTTCTGTGGTGAAGGGGTTCTTCTGATCTCTCATACAGGGGAAGTTATAGCTGAGGGGGTCTCTCCCAGCACCAGGTCCTGCTTGCAGGCACTGCCACGGTGCAGGTGGCACTGGTGTCTGATGTGTAACCCATGGAGATGGATGCACAGCCGCATAAGCAACACTGGCTCTGAGGTCTGGAGCTGGGTATGTGCAGGGCTATTGCTGCTCCACAAACTGGGGCTTGAACGCATCTGCTGCAGTGCTGGCTCTGGGTCTGCAGTGAGGTGCTTGTGTACTAGATGCAGAGTCAGGGTCTGGAATGCAAACACAAGTCAAGCAATAGTGGCTCCAGGGTCTGATGTGGACTAGCTTACTGTGGCAGCGATTCCGAGGTCTGAGGAGCGGGCACTCAAGAACGGTAGTAGGGCTAGGGTTGAGAGCTCATGTGTGCACAGATTGATCGCAGCTCTAGGTCCTGGAATGGGGCTAGGCTTTAGCAACAGTGGCTATGATGACTGATGTGCACGTGTACATGGTGTGGCCACACAGAATCTGGAGTACAGGAATGTGTGAAGTGACAGCAGGTCTTGTGTCTGGGCAAAGTGGGCCACAGGGCATCACATTTGCACCTGCGGAGAGTTGGTTACTGATAGCCCCCTTCTTCGTCGTTGTCCCTAGCCATCTCCAAATGTCTCAGCTATGCCAGTCTCCCTGCAGTCCTTTCTGTGTGATTATCTCCCACCTCCCCACTTTTTTTTTTTTTGACAGGCAGAGTGGACAGTGAGAGAGAGAGACAGAGAGAAAGGTCTTCCTTTGCCGTTGGTTCACCTTCCAATGGCCGCCGCTGCAGCCGGCGCACCGCGCTGATCCGATGGCAGGAGCCAGGATCCAGGTGCTTTTCCTGGTCTCCCATGGGGTGCAGGGCCCAAGCACCTGGGCCATCCTCCACTGCACTCCCTGGCCATAGCAGAGAGCTGGCCTGGAAGAGGGGCAACCGGGACAGAATCCGGCGCCCCAACCGGGACTAGAACCCGGTGTGCCGGCGCCGCAAGGTGGAGGATTAGCCTATTGAGCCACGGCGCCGGCTTACCACTTTTTTTTTTTTTTTTAATTGCACTGTGTTGCTGCTGCATGTTCTTAATTGGGAACTTGAGCTCTCCCAAGGGTATTTTCATTCACAGATAACTGTGTAATTGTGGTGTTTGGGGGGAGGAATGAAGGCTGGTATCTCCTACTGTGCCATCTTTTTGTGGTCACTCTCTTATTCAACTTTAAGTAGTTCTCTTTCTGTAGAATTTTCAGAACTTTTTGTTTGTTTGTTTTTACATTACAACATAATCTCCAAGGTGGGATATAGATGCCTATGCATGGTTTTGTCAACTTTTTTTGTGACACAATTATAACTATATCTCAAAATAGTGTTCTGTGATGTGTTTAGAACGCATTTACTATTTAGAGGTTTAGGCACATGTGGAAAATGCATACTTTGGTGTGTAATTCATAAAACAAATAGAGATTATTCATATAATCCATGTCCCAACTCACTGATGTATTTATTATTCATCCAGAAGATATACATTGCACACCTATTTTTTTGCCAAGCTTTTTTCCAGGTAGAGAAAAGGAAGTGAAAAAAGAAGAGTTCCTATTTTCATACAGATTACATTGTAGTGAAAAGTGATAAATTTAAAAAGAGAACACACCATACACAAGCACTTTAAAGAACCATAGCTCAGAGTAAAGGAATAGAGCATGATGGTGGGATTTTAATTTACATAAGGTATTGAGATAATCCTTCCAGGGAGGGTGACATTTCAAGGAAGAGAGAAGTTAAACCAGAGAGATGGATGAGGAGAAGAGTATCCAGGCTGAATTCTCATATGGACACCAGTTCCTGTCCAGGCTGCTCCTCTTCCGATCCAGCTCTCTGCTATGACCTGGGAAAGCAGAAGATGGCCCAAGTGCTTGGGCCTCTGCACCTGCGTGGGAGACCCGGAAGAAGCTCCTGGCTTCAGATCAGCCATCTGGGGAGTGAACCAGCGGATGGGAGACCTCTCTCTCTGACTCTCCCTTTCTCTGTCTGTAACTCTACCTCTCATATATATATATATATAAATAAAAAAACTTAAAAAATAAGAGCCTGTGTAAATGGCAATGTATTTTGGGACACCTTTTGACAGCGACTATAGAAGCCTAGCAGATATGGGGAAGGGGAAAAATCACTATATTTCTAAATATTCAAAATTTGCATTCATTAAATAAAAGCTTTAAAAAAATACCTTCATGAATGCTCCAGAATCCAGGTGAGAACATACAGCACCTGGGTAATGCACAGAAATGAAATGAGATGCTTTTAAAAGAACAAGCAGTTTCACTTTACCCATATTACCTTCCCCTCCAGCCCAAACAACACAATTCCAGTAGAGATCCCCTTGGTCTATAAGTTCTCCCATGAAAGAATGGGTGAGTGAGCTGAATGACTTCATGACAAATCCCAACACCAGGCGAATTTACCCACACTCCCTGGTACTAGGCCCACCCACACAGATGTGTGGGCTATGGTTAAGTTTAGGGGCTAGTGTTAGGGCTGGGTTGGGGCTAGGGCTAGGGCTAGGATTAGGGTTAGGATTAGGGTTAGGATTTAATTTAGGGTTAGGGTTAGGGTTAGGGCTAGGGTAAGGGTTAGGGTTAGCACCATGTCAGCACCATGCTTGCTCATCCACAAACTGGATCAGAAGTAGAGCAGTTGGGACTTGAACCGGTGTCCCTATGGGATGCCAATACTCCAGGCAGTGGCTTCACCTGCTGTGCCACAGCACTGGCCCTGTACACATTTTCCATGAAGATTTTTGCATAGCAGAAGCATTGAGATGACACAGGAAGTTTTGAGCTGTCATCTCTACTTGTCTATAATTTTATTTTGAGATGTGCACCCAAAGAGTTTAGTGATCACATTTGTGGTTAACTGACTTTATCCTACTTTGTCGAGTTATAAAAATCAACTTCTCTCACACAGAGACTCCGAATATGAGCTGAGACACATAAGTTCTGCATTTGGGAACCAAATATTGCTGATGGCAAGAGCCCTAGGCTTAAGATCCATGGATACTTGAGGCTGAGATTCCCCAAGCAAACTTGATCCTCCTGTTTTTGTTGGGATCTGTGGACGGTGTGAGCATTGTTCCTACAAATTTTTCATTAAAATTTCTTTGCAAATTAAAAGACAGTCTAACTTAGTATCTTTATTAAAAAGAGCACTTGGCTCCCACTGTACTTCAGTGACAACTTTGGCACAGTTCAAAGGGTTGTGAGTGTTAGTGTCCACCCCTGGATTTTCTATTTTTTCCCCCGGTTCATTCATACAGCCTTGAACTGACACTAAACTATTTGCAGGAAGACAGCTTTATAGTAGATCTTGGTATCTGGTAGTTTATGTCTGCTGACAATTTTTTTCCATCTAGACATTCTTTTTTTTTAATGTATAAATGACAGTATTATATTACTTTTATATAAATTACAGAATGAACTTATGATTTTTTAAGCAAATAACCTTCTGGTGCTTTGAATGGGAAATATTGAATTTATAGATTAATTGGGGGCAAATTAACATATTTATAAAATAAATGTTACATTCCCTAAAAAAAAAAGACAGTCTAACATACAGGTTATCTAGATAACAGAAGTAGGAATGTGACAACCTCAGGACAATTGAGATGAAATAAAAAAACTATAGTGCTTTGAAGGAGCACTTATCACCTCAAGGGAAAGTTAAGTGAGCCCTTGAGTATAAAAGAAATGCAGAAGTAGATGTTTAATCTGCATTTCCTCGCAGTGGCCTAGGAGTATGGATGTTGACTAACTACTTTAAGAAAATCCTTTAATTAATGTCCTTGGCTAACGCCTGGCCTGCAGGATGTATTGGCATCACTTTTGGAAAGAAAAGTAAATCTCCATTGTTCGTGGTCATATTTTCCCTTGGAAGCATTTCTGAGAAGCATATTATTCCCAAATAGCCATTCTTTACTTCCTCCGCCAGAAGAGGAAGCTGTGGGGTCCCACAGAATTCTTTCACTGCTATTATGGTTTCTGCCCTGTTTGCCTGTACCAGTTTCAGGTTCATCACCATGGTGGTTGTTCTAGATCTGCTCCTTTCTCTCCCTCTTGCACAGTCCCCTTTTCTAGGTTGTGTATTCATGCTTAACAATTTGATTAATAGATATTTCCTTATCCCTTATCAGTCTCTGTGGCTGACACACCAACCATCATGTCAACTGCTATTGCTTGAAAGGTATGTTTCTCATAAAGCTCCCAAGTGGTACCAAACATCAACTGGTATTCATAATCTATTGTAGCTTTTCAACGTTTAATTGATATACGGTTATTACCAATATTTATGGGATTATAGTATGACATTTAAATACATCTATATGGTGTGTAATTATTAGATCAGAGTAATTTTTTCCAGAATTTTTGTATCTTCATTTGTCAAGGATATTGATCTGCAGTTTTCTTGTGGTCCTTACCTGGTTTTCATATCAGGATAATGATGGATTTGAAGAATGAGTTGGAAGGGTTCTCTGGTTTTCAATACTTTTTAATAGTTAAAAATGAATTAAGATTTTTCTTTTTTTTTTAACTGTTTTGGCACATCTTCCCAGTTTTCCAATTTTGTTGGCATAAAGTTGTTCAGAATAGTCCCTTCACCCTTTGTACTTCTCTGGTATGAGTTGCCACGTCGTTCTTTACATCTCTGATTTTACTCTTTGGAATTTTTTTCTCTTTTCTTCTTGGTTAGTCATGCCAAAGTTTGTCATTTTGCTTATCTTTTAAAATAAAACTGACTCATCATTTTTTTGGTCTTTTGTATTTTTTTTCTGTGTCTCTATTTTGTTTATTTCTGCTCTGATCTTTGTTATTTCCTTTCACTTACTAATTTTGGGTTTGTTCTTGCTTCTCTATTTCCTTGAGTTGGATTGTTACCACCATAAATGACCCTCTTACTAATTTTGCTATATTCAATAGGTTTTGGCATGCTTTGTATGCATTTCCATTTGTTTCAAAAATTTTTTAAATTTCCTTTTGATTTCTTTATGGCATGTTGATCATTCAAGAGTATGTTGTTGGTTTCAACATATTTGTACCATTTCTAAAGTTCTTGTTAATTTCCAGTTTTATTCCACTGAGGTAAATAAAGATATGTTAATTTTTTTAAGATTTATTTTATTTATTTGAAAGACAGAGTTACCGAGAGAAGTAGAGACAGAGAGAGGTCTTCCATCTGCTGGTTCACTCCCCAGATGGCTGCAAAGGCCAGAGCTGTACCCATTTGAAGCCAGGAGCCAGGAGCTTCTTCCGAGTCTCCCACACGGGTACAGGGGCCCAAGGCCTTGGGCCATCTTCCACTGCTTTCCCAGGCCATAGCAAAGAGTGGGATCAGAAGAGGAGCAGCCGGGACTAGAACCGGCACCCATATGTGATGTCAGTGCTTCAGGCCAGGGCTTTAACCCACTGTGCCACAGCACTGGCCCCGCTAAAATTTTAATTTTTTGAAATTGTTGAGTTTTTTTTGTAGCCTAACATATAATATGTCCTGTAAGATATTCCATTTATTTATCAGAGGTGTGTGTATTCTATATTTGTAGTGTAAAATTCTATGTAAATATGTTAAGTCCCTTTGGTCAGTAGCATAATTTAATTCTGATTTTTTTGAATTGTTCACATTGTGTCTTTTTCCTCCCAGAAATATTTTATTTAAGGTATACAAACTTCATGCATTTCATAAATACAACTTTTGATTTTTTGTCAAAGTGATATGTATGATATAGGTGATATCTAGGTGATATATAGATATCCAGGTAATATATGTCTAGGTAGATTTTTATGTCTAGGTGATACTCCACTATGAAGAAAGTAGGGTATTTAACTCCTCTAATATTATTGTATTACAGTCCATGTCTCTTTCTTATATCTAATATTTTTTAAATAAAATTCAGTGTTCCAGTGTTGGGTGCATATGTATTTCTGAGGCTGTCAGCAGATTGCATAAAATGATAAATCCTTATTTGTCAAGGGAAGACTGGTGGGAATCCTCCAAGAGTGGATTTTTTTTTTTTTTTTTTGGCTATGTAGATGTCATTTTTGCTTTCCATTGTCCCATTTATTAGGTAAAGATGCTTGGTATTAAAATTCCACCTAGGAAGGTGGTTGCTATTTTATTTTAAAGATTTATTTATTTATTTGAAAGTCAGAGTTACATAGAGAGAGGAGAGGCAGAGAGAGAGAGAGAGAGAGAGAGACAAAGAGAGAGAGAGAGAGAAGTCTTCTATCTGCTGGTTCACTCCCTAATTGGCCGCAACGGCCAGAGCTGCACCTACCCGAAGCCAGGAGCCAGGAGCTTCCTCTGGGTCTCCCACGTGGGTGCAGGGGCCAAGGATTTGGGCCACCTTCCACTGCTTTCCCAGGCCATAGCAGAGAGCTGGATCAGAAGAGGAGCAGTCAGGACTAGAACCAGCGCCCATATGGGATGCCGGCACTTCAGGCCAGGGTGTTAACCCGCTGCGCCACAGCTCCGGCCCCTGCTATTTTATTTTGATGGCCTTTCTTTTTGCATTGAGATGAAAGGTTTTAATTGTCATAACAGAAAACAAGTGAGAAGTTCATGCTTTTGCATTTACATCTGTTTTTACCATATTCTAAGAGATTCTAGAATCTTGAGTCCCATTAGAATCATCTAGGGTGCTTTAATAATACATCTCTTTTTTTAGACAGCAGTTATTTTATTACTATTGACACTGTAGAGATATCATCTCTAGTTTCTGAGTCTCTGAATCAAACCATAGTAACTATCAGTACATGCAAAAAATAAAAATAAAATTGGTTTTAGCTCAATCAAGACTTTACATTGAAATTTCAACATAAAGTAAAGCATGCTCTACAGAAAAGATACATTTTGTTTGTAAAAAGAATAAAAATCACTTGAACTCCAAATTTCTAGTGAGTGTGCCAAAAAATAGTTTGGTCATGCATATTCAATTATAATATATGCAAAACAAAATATTGTGATCACATGCTAATAAACTTGTTCACCATAAGTAAGGCTTTAACTATCTGAGAAATAGAGCAACTTATAGTTAAGAAATTTATTCTAACATCAATGAGTTTTTTGCTAGCCATTCTGGTTTTGACAAGACTGGTGTCACATTCCTTAGGTTTAAGCTCCTATCCTAAAGCACAAATTGGTCTTTAGGCAGAAAAAAAATTATACAAATAAATAAATAAATAAACTTTTAAAAAAATTAGCAGAGTTAATTCTAAGTTCCAAAAAGATGGCAGTTGAATGACTTTCTCCCTTTCTGCCATTTGAAAATGCCACAGTGCCCTGTGAGCTTTGGTGGAGTCAGCTCCCTGCTGCCTGGCTGCTGCGGTTCTTATGCTGAGACAGAGCCCTGAGCGTCCAGCAGTCGGTGGTTACCTGTGCCTGCGTGTCGCTGTCATCCACAGATGGATCTCCCCCTGTGCTCCCATATGATTTCTGTATCGCTGCTATAATGTATTACATTGTGAGTAGGAAAGTCAGTTTGGGTTTCTCATTCCCAAAGACATCCTTTGGGATGTAAGTTTATTTCACTCTCTCATCCCCAAAGCCCTTCACACAATGCTTTGCATACTGTAATAGGAAGAGGAGATGGGGGAGGGGTACAATGATTTGTTAAGCAGATCTAAAATGCTATTAACCTTGCTTTAAGTAGTAGCCAAGAGTACTGTTAGGGAGGGTATCAAATGGGAGAAAAGCTGGCTTTCTTCACTTCCTCTAGGTAAACTTCATGGTGTGAGCTTAAGGAATTTCCCACAAAGCTTCCCAGGCCTACAGAGGTGACTGTCTCTTTTGGGTGAAGAGCTACATTAATCTAGCCCAAGAAACCAATGAGTAAAATAAAATGTCAATAAATTACACCAAAAAATGTGCATGGACTCGGCTCACATTTCTGACTTGGAGCATCTTTCCATCATATTCAGCCAGAACACGACAGAAAGATACTGAGATCACTTCCTTCTCCTCCCCTCCCCTCCCCCTCTTGCTCCCTTTCTCCTTCCCTTCCTTCTCCCTCATCCTTTTAAAAAGATTTTACTTGTTTGAAAGTAAGAGTTACAGAGAAATAAGGAGAGATAGAGAGAGGTCTTCCATCCTCTGGTTCACTCCCCATATGGTTGCAAGGGCCAGGGCAGGGCCAGGCTGGAGCCAGGAGCTTCCTCAGGGTCTCCCATGTGGGTGTAGGGCACAAGCACTTGGGCCATCTTCCGCTGCTTTTCCAGGCCATTAACCAGGGAGCTGGATCAGAAGTGGAGCAGCTGGGACTCGAACCAGTGCCCGAACAGGGTGCTGGTGCTGCAGACAATGGCTTAACCCACTACTCCACAGCGTCAGCCCCAAGATCTTCTTTACTAGCAAGACTGGTTGGTATTAAAAGGAAAAGGCAACACACGGCTGCAATTTAAGTTAAAAGCTACACGTTTTCCTGAACTCAACTAGTCTTTTAAGATTGTTTCCAAGGAGACACTGCCAATTACAGTTTTTAGAAAAAAAATTCCAAAAAAGCAAGACCTTTTGTAGGAATTTAAAATATAGTTATTTGGTCTCTTTTATCGTAACCTCAATGAATGACATTTTTCCTCTTATTTGTTGTTTGAGACTTCACTCTATTGGAGGAAAGGCACCCTAACTGTAGCAGCTAACCTGGAGAACAGAGACAGGCAGGCTTTCACTGTTAGATAAATGAAGAATTCTTCTTAGAAGCTTTGAGAAGCGAGATAAGGAAAGCCAAGAGAGGCCACACCCTGTGGAACGTATTTCTGCTATTGAGTCTTCTCTGCAGCGTGCATCAGAAGACTTATGGTATCAAGCACTTTAAACTCTCTGAATTTGTGATTCTAAAACGACCCTTTTGAGGGCCAGCACTGGGGTACAGCGAGCTTCGATCATGGCGTGGAGAGCAGCGGCCTCAGACAGAGATGAACCCGGGAGGCGGGGGGCTGTGGTGTTAGTGTTCAGGGAGTATTTATCCAGGAAGGCTCTAGCTGGCTCTCACAGAGAGGCCGAAGGCCTAAGTATGTCAACATTTTCCTCTGTGATTCAGTTCCCTGAAATCACTGCTCAAATTTGGATTGCCATACTTCTCTCTTTTTTGTTTTTGCTAAGCTAGTGATTTCCTCAGAAAGGACTTTAAAAAGTGTTCTTGTTTCTGTCACAACATTAAGAATTGCATTACAAATTGGTAATATTTTCTTAATTCTTTGTGAAGCGAGATTCAGTTTTTGAGGCCAGGGATAAGTTTTTATCCATATCTGTGACTTCACTTTAGCTAACAAAATAGGCAGTGCTAAGGGAGATTCTAAAGTGTGGTGTTGCATGTGACATCCACGGGAAGGCAACTTTCTGCTTCTTTCTCAGCATTTACATTTGATTGGTTTCTTACGTATAATTGCCTTTTTAGAAGAAAAAATATTTATTTATTTGAATGGCAGTGTCGCTCCCCATCTTCGCAGAGGAACGACACAGGACCCTGCGCTGTTCTTTTGTCTGCTCGACCCTCCCCGGGTTTGCTGCTGGTCCTTCCCGGGTTGGCTACCGTCCCTTCCACCTCCGTGGAAGGGCGGTTCCCCCTGCCACTTTCCCCACTTCCGCAGGGGAGCGGCACACCACCGGCCGGCTCTCTCGGGGGCTGCACAGGTGTTCCTTCAGATAGATGTTCCTGGTGCATGTTGTCTCTCTCCTCCTTTATAGTCCTCTTCCATCAATCCCAACTCTGCTACCCACACGCCGAGTACGCTGCTCTCCTCCAATCAGGAGCAGGTCCTACAGTTTATTGGTTGAACTGGAGGCAGCTGTGTAGAAGCTGTTTCCTCCTCTCCCAGCGCCATATTGTGGGAGAGCAGATGCATAAAATAAGTCTTAATTCGAGTAACAGTCTAATCCGAGTTGCTCCCCACAGATCCCCCTTTCTTTTTATTTTTTGGCTTTGATATGCGCCTGTCTTCGGTGCCCCGTGGCACACACTCTGCTCTGCTTGCTAGAGTTGCCCACAGGTGCTTACAAGCCCTACCAATCAGGCAAACCTAATCCGGGTCCTCTCTTCGCCATGTTGTGAGGAGGTTTTTAGGCGCTGATGCGTACCTGAGTTCGGTGCCCTGCAGCGCATGCTCTGCTCTGCTAGAACTGCCTGCAGGTGCTTACAAGCCCTAGCAATCAGGCAAACCGAATCCAAGCCCTCTCATTGCCGTCTTGTGGGGAGACTTATTGGTGTTGATAACGTGCCTGTCTTCGGTGACCTGCAGCCGCCCACAGGTGCTTATCGTCTTACTAATCAGGCAGACCAAATCCAAGCTCTCTCATTGCCGTGTTGTGGGGAGGCCTTATTTTTCTCTATTTCTCTACCTCCGGGCATTCCTATTTCTCCTATTTTACTTCTATCTGCCAGCATTCCTATTTCTCTCATTTTACTGCTAAACTTCTATTTCTCTTATCCCTGCGGCTTCCCGGCGCCCACCCCGAGGCTGCTTCTCGGCGCCTCACCCGCGGCGGCTTCCCGGCTCTGCGCACTCCGCGGTCTCCGCGCCCTTTGCGCCCGCACCACGGCCTCCGCGCTAGCCCCACGTTCCCTACTCGCGCCCCGTGCGCTGCCCCTGTTTGTGCCCCGCGCGCTCTCTCTGCGCGCGGCAGCTTCCGCGAGTCACACAGCCTAGCTCACATTTCCGCCACCGGTATTCAGTCTAAGTTCCCCGGGCTAACCTGGCGAATTCAACCTAGCTCACGTCTGCGCCTTTCGGTTTGGCTTCCCGTCTTTTGCTCCCCGGGCTAATCTGACGGATTCCAACCTGGCTTACGCGTCCGCCTCTAGTTTTAGCTTTTCGCCTTTTGCTCCCCGGGCTGACTTGAAGAATCCCAAGCTGGCTTACGTCTCCGCCTCAGCCTGCCCCCGCAGCTTCATTTTCCCTAACATTTTTCTCTACCCGGTATGTTTCCCTAAGTTTTCTTCCAACAATATTCCCCTCTCATTTCTCCTGGCTTCTCCCCACAGTCCGTGTCCGAGTCTGTTTGTTCTAGCTTTCACTTTCGCTTTCAATCTTAGAGATTTCTCCTAACTTCTTTCCCACAGTCCATATCCGAGTCTATGCCTAGGCTTTCAATAGCTTCTTCCGGCACCTTTTCCGTCCGGCTTTTCCCTAGGCTCTTTGCTAGTCTCTTTCTCCGGTATTTTCCCGCTTCTTCCTGCTTCTTCCCTCCTAGGTTTCCTATCCGAGTCACGGCACCATTATGTCGCTCCCCCTCTTCATGGAGGAATGACACTGAACCCTGCCTAGGCTTCATATCCGAGTCACAGCACCATTATGTCGCTCCCCGTCTTCGCAGAGGAACGACACAGGACCCTGCGCTGTTCTTTTGTCTGCTCGACCCTCCCCGAGTTTGCTGCTGGTCCTTCCCGGGTTGGCTACCGTCCCTTCCACCTCCGTGGAAGGGCGGTTCCCCCTGCCACTTTCCCCACTTCCGCAGGGGAGCGGCACACCACCGGCCGGCTCTCTCGGGGGCTGCACAGGTGTTCCTTCAGATAGATGTTCCTGGTGCATGTTGTCTCTCTCCTCCTTTATAGTCCTCTTCCATCAATCCCAACTCTGCTACCCACACGCCGAGTACGCTGCTCTCCTCCAATCAGGAGCAGGTCCTACAGTTTATTGGTTGAACTGGAGGCAGCTGTGTAGAAGCTGTTTCCTCCTCTCCCAGCGCCATATTGTGGGAGAGCAGATGCATAAAATAAGTCTTAATTCGAGTAACAGTCTAATCCGAGTTGCTCCCCACAGGCAGAGTTACAGATATATATATGTATGTATATGTATATATATGTGTATATATATACATATATATATATATACACACACACAAACACACACACAGAGATCTTCCATTCATTGTTTCATTTCTCAGATGACTATAACATCAGGTTTGGGTCATGTTGAAGCCAGGAGCTTGGAATTCCATCCAAGTCTCCAATGTGGGTTCCGGGGCCCAAGCACTATGGCCACGTTCCACTGCCTTCCCAGACACATTACCAGGGAACTGAATTGGAAGCGGAGTGATTGGGCCTTGAACCAGTGCTTGTATGAGATGCCAGTATTGCAGGTGGCAGCTTAACCTGTTGTGCCATAACGCTGACCCCAAACCTTTTCTTTTGTATTTTATCATTCTATTTTGGAATCATTCTACATAAAACAAAATAAAAGAGATTAAGAAGAAGAGGACCATCTTTTAGTTAAACTAATTCCAACAAGGGCCATATAGTGTTTTTATGGGATTCTCCTGTATTTAATAAAATGTATTAAAATACACGTATGTTTATCAATTATTTTTGGAGGAGGAATGGTGAAAGCAGTTAATTTTGATGAGATTCATAAAGCGCTTGCTGCCTACATTTTAAAAACAAATCATTGCATTAGGAGACCTCAACTGCTGATTGCAGACAGGTGGGTGTTTTTCCCAAAATAACAAATGGGGCTAATGACCTGCAGAGAAAAACACACACACACACACACACACACACAGGAAGTACAGTAGGGTGTTTTTATTTAATATAGAAGGAACTGGTTGCAAGGACACCGCGTCAAGTGTAATCACTGAAGTTCAAACTGAGCATACAGAAAGGTGAAGTTTGAAGGATCTTCACTAACAAAGATGCCGTGTGCTTTACAGTCTTCAAAGTGTTTTCATGTACAACTGCCTTTTCAGAACAACTTTGTGAGATTGGGAAGCTGGTATCATTTATTTATTTATTTATTTGAAAGGCAAAGTTACACAGAGAGAGGGGGGGGGGGTCTTGCATCAGATGGTTCAATCCCCAATTAGCCGCAATGGCTGGAGCTGTGCTGATCCAAAGCCAGGAGCCAGGAGCTTCTTCCAGGTCTCCCATGCAGGTGCAGGGGCCCAAGGACTTGGGCCATCTTCCACTGCTTTCTCAGACTACAGCAGAGAGCCGGATCAGAAGTGGAGCAGCCGGGACTCAAACCGGCACTTCAGACCAGGGCGTTAACCTGCTGTGCCATACATAGCACCTGCCCCAGCTGGTATCATTTTACAGATGAAGAAAAAGTGATTCAGAGAAGTTCAGAGAAGTTCAGAGAAGTTCAGAGAAATGGTGGTTCAGACCTGGTTTCTCCAGGTCATTAGTTCTGTTTATAATTCTGGGGACTGTGTTTATGCATTTAAGAATCCTTTTTATGAAAGGTCCTTAAAAGCATTTCTGCCTTAGTTTCTGCAAACCGTTCAATGGATTATTTCTTTTTTCTTTTCTTTCTTTTTTTCTTTTTTTTTTTTTTTTAACAGGCAGAGTGGACAGTGAGAGAGAGAGAGACAGAGAGAGAGAGAGAGAGAAAGGTCTTCCTTTGCCGTTGGTTCACCCTCCAATGGCCGCCACGGTCAGCGCGCTGCGGCCGGCGCACCACGCTGATCCGAAAGCAGGAGCCAGGTACTTATCCTGGTCTCCCATGGGGTGCAGGGCCCAAGCACTTGGGCCATCCTCCACTGCACTCCCGGGCCACAGCAGAGAGCTGGCCTGGAAGAGGGGCAACTGGGACAGAATCCGGCGCCGCGACCGGGACTAGAACCCGGTGTGCCGGCACCGCAAGGCGGAGGATTAGCCTAGTGAGCCACGGTGCTGGGCCTCTTTTTTCTTTTAAGATTCATTTTATTTATTTGAAAGGTAGAACTACAGAGAGAGATTAGGAGAGACAGGGGAGAGAGAAAGAGAGAGAGAGAGAGAGACTGATTCCACCTACTGGCTCACTCCCAAAATGGCTGAAATGGCTGGGGCTGGGCCAGGCCGAAGCCAGGAGCCCAGAGCTTCTTCTGGGTCTCCCACACGGGTAGCTGGGTAAGATGGGCCATCTTCCAGTGCTTTTCCAGGTCATTAATAGGGACCTGGATCAGAAGTGGAGCAGCCAGATCTCGAACCAGCACCCACATGGGCCGGCGTCCCAGGCAGAGGCTTGGCCTGCTAAGCCACAACACCTGCCACAGGTAGGTTGTTTCTTGTGTCTGTGATGGTTTCCTGACAGTGACTGTGCTTGACAGTGTCCATTTTCTGTCATAAAGTCCAACCCTTCCTACTTACATCTCTACTAAATAACCACACACATATGCAGAGGTCCTGGGGTACTACCAAGAGAGTAGGAGAACAAGGAATGAACCGATATGAATAAAGCACTATATTATTATTGAGGATTAAGGCTTTAACAAATGAGTGTGGGGGTGAGGGCCACAGACTCCGTAACGGCACCGTGGGTGGCGTGTGGGATCCTGAGGTTGTCGTCATCACAAGTCTGACATTTCCTTTGCCTTTGCCTCAGCACACCTGCTTTCTCTCACCTGGGAAGGTCTTGGGATTGACCCAACGGCTCCACCACCTCCCCTCGGGCAGTGTATGTATGATGTGTACCCCACAAGATGTTCCTCATACACACGTGGTCTTTTGCCACCACGAATGCTCTCATTCATCTCAGAGAAATTTCTAGGCCAGAGCTTACCTCAAGCATCCAGTTGCCTTTGAAAGTGTAATATCCAGAAAAGGAGAAAGATGCAGAGATGCTTATGGAATTTTCGTTAGACATAGTGATTTTTTTCTGTTAGGGTATTGCCTTGCTTTTTGTCTAAATGGGTACAAACAAATTGAGAAATGTTACATGACTCACCAGTGAGCTCAGCGTACTCATGGAGGCTTCTACTACCTGTTTTCTGGCACTGCTTTCTCAATTTCCCTTTTTATTCCTTACACCATCTCCCAGCGTGAGACAAAGGGATCCACAGTCTTTGAAAAGACTTCTCCTCTTTAGTTAACTCTCTTATGCTGGGAACCAGAATATGCAAAATCAGTGCTCACCAGAACAGGTAAAATTAGTGCTCAGATTCAAGTATTTCTAAATATATTCCTCCATCTGCAGAAATATATATCCCAGGGAAAACTAAGACATCCCTCACCCTCTTGGCCAGTGTTTATGACAGGAGCACAGACCCAGAATGGAGCTGGAAGGACGTCCAAGTAAACGTGAGTACTTTCTCTCCTTCCAATTTTAATGTCGTTGTGAAGACAGAAAGTGATGCTGATGTGGAGAAGGAGGTGGAGGGGAATGAGGATGACTTTGGTAAAAAAGGAGGACACAGCTAGATTAAAATTATTTGGTAACAGAAACTTACTTATAGAACGTAGACTGTGGTGCAGCAGGTTAAAGCCCCAGCCTGCAATGCCAGCATCCCATTTGGGCGCCGGTTCGGGCCCCGGCTGCTCTGCTTCTATCCTGCTCTCTGCTATAGCCTGGGAATGCAGTGGGGGATGGCCCAAGTCCTTGGGACCCTGCACCCTCGTGGGGGACCCGGAGGAGGCTCCTGGCTCCTGGCTTTGGATTGGTGCAGCTCCAGCAGTTGCAGCAAATTGGAGAGTGAACCAGCAGGTGGAAGACTTCTTTCTCTGCCTCTCCTTCTCTCTCTGTAACTCTAACTTTCTTTCTTTCTTTTTTTTTTTTTTTTTCAGTACCAATAAGTCTTGATTTATTCATTGTATTTCCCCAGGGAAAGGAGAAGGGATGGGGAGAGTCAGCATATGTGTTACAAAGCAATTAGAAAATGGGAAAGGAGGAACCCAGTACAGCAAAAATCAACCTTCAAATACACACTCCCCAGTGATGGGGTCACCAAACCCAAGGGGGCTTATTCTCCTGCAGTTCAGGAATGGGGGGGGGGGTCAGCCAAAGAACAGACGCAAGCTTTCCTACCCTCCCTCCCTCCCGCCCATAAATTCAAGATTTCACATAAAGCTTTGGTTTCTAGCAGTAAACATGGAGTTACATTCGTCCGTCTCCTATCAAACAATCTTATGGCCACTTTGACATAAGTTTCTTGCACCTGCATAAAAGTTCCTGAGTGACTTGGACGTACATTCATAGTCCCCTTCTTGATCTCCAAACCCCTTTTCTACACAGAAGGTGCCCAATAGCTTCTCTTCTTTCGGATAAATTGTGTAACTCTAACTTTCAAGTAAATAAGTAAATTAAAAAAAAAAAAATAAACGGGCCAGCACTGTGGTGCAGTAGATTAATCCTCTGCCTGCGGCGCTGGCATCCCATATGGGCGCCGGTTCTAGTCCTGGCTGCTCCTCTTCCAATCTAGCTCTCTGCTATGGCCTGGGAAAGAAGTAGAAGATGGCCCAAGTCCTTGGGCCCCTGCACCCGCATGGGAGACTGGGAAGAAGCTCCTGGCTCCGGATCAGCATGGTTCTGGCCGTAGCAGCCATCTGGGGAGTGAACCAATGGAAGGAAGATCTTTCTCTCTCTCTTTCTCACTCTCTATAACTCTACCTCTCAAATAAATAAATAAAATCTTAAAAAAAAAAGAATGTAGATTGTGTCAAGGAGGATAAAGTGTATAAAAGAGAAGATGGAAATAGAATATTCAGGAAGATTCTCTTATAGGGGAGAGAGAGGTGTAGAAACATAGGGACACAGGATCCTGGTGTGTCAGAGGTGGTGACTGTCCCATTTTATGTTTGTGACTTAAGTGACACAAATGGATCCATATAAGGAGATCATTAAATAATATATTTTTTTAAAATATAGATTAAATGCATAAATATACTCAGCTGTACGAAAAAAAAAAAGAAAAAGAAATTCTGTACATTGTGAAATCCTGTCCTTTGCAACAAGAGGGATGCAACTGGAAATCATTATACTTAGTGAAATAAGCCAGTCCCCAAAAGATAGATATATTTTCCCTGATCCAAGGTAACTAATAGAGTACTTCAAATGTAATGTAGTTTTCAGGCATAGAAAGCCAAGACACTGTGGCAAAAAATGGCCTGCATGAAAGATCTCTGTGAGAGAGATCCAGTGGAAAGAAGGGACAATCAAAGAAGGAGGTACCTTTCTCTGAAGGGAGGAGAGAACTTCCACTTTGATTATGGCCTTGTCTAAATAAGGTCGGAGTTTGTGAACTCAAGAGGCTTCCACAGCCTTGGCAGCTCATGACAAGAGCCTCGGGTGATCACTGACGTCATAAATAAGAGTGTCAGTTGTTAAATCAACAATAGGAGTCACTGTGCACTTGCTCCCATGTAGGACCTCTGTCCATAATGAGTTGTTCTATGAAAATTAACAGTAAAACTAGTATTCAAACAGTATTTTATACTTTGTGTGTCTGTGTGGGTGCAAACTGTTGAAATCTTTGCTTAGTAAAGAGTTGATCTTCTGTATATAAAGATTATGAAAAATGAATCTTAATGAAGAATGGGATGGGAGAGGGAGTAGGAGGTGGGTCGAGAGTGGGGGTGGGAGGTTGTGTATGGGGGAAGAACCATGATATTCCAAAATCTGTGTCTATGAAGTTTATATTTATTAAATAAAAGCCTTCAAAAATAAATAAAATGTAATGTATTGGAGTGAAATGGACGTTTTAAGATTTGATGATTGTTTATAGTCCTTGTCTCTTCTGTTGAGGAACAATGTTTTTCTTTGTTTTCTTCAGCCTATTTGTTGAACTCTTCTTAGTGTAGGGTTAACTTTATAATCATTCAGTAAACTGAAAGTAGATCTTCGTAAAAATTAAGAGTGGGAATGGGAGAGGGAGGAGGAGGAAGGGTTGGAGCATGGGTAGGAGGGAGAGTAGAGGGGGAAGTGTCACTGTGTTCCTAAATCTGTATATATGAAATACATGACCCTTGTATAACTTAAATAAAATTAAAAAAATATAGACTGAATGCATAAATATATAAGCTAAAATCATTCATTTATTTTATCACCCTACCATGGAAAATTTCAATAGGATCACCTTGTATAGTGGTCCTGAAAAATACTTTTTATGAGGCAATATACCTGGGAGATTTTTATGTCAATAATACATAACTATGGTGCGTAAGTTATGCCAGCAATGTATGCCCAGAATTATTTAATTGCTATATAAAATTTTATCATGTGGTTTACCATAATTTAGCCCTTCTGCTATGGATAATACACAGGTAAGTGTTAGTTCTGGTGCTTTTGCTGCTTCCAAAAGCAATGCAGTAAATATCCTTTAACACAAATGAGTTATATCTATAGGATAGATCCCTAGAATTCAAAATGTTGTGGCAAATATAATGCAACTAAAAACTGATAAATGATACTAAATTGATCCTTTTAAAGGATCAATTTTTTTCTAACTTACAATCCAGCTTTAAATAATAATAAATCCAGGATTTATTTCCAGAGTGCTTATTTCCCCTCAACATTGCCAACACTGCATGTTTTAAATTTACTTTTAAATCAGATACGTCAAAAACAGCCACAAATGTTTAAGTCTACAGTCCCCTGATTGAGTGTGCTTTTATTCATTTGCTGACCATTTCTAATCTCAGCGAATTACATTTCCAGCATATTTCTTCCTCAGTTTTGCTTAACTACATAATTAGTTTTTAAAATTCTTTATGCAATTTGGATATTAATATTATGATAAGATTTTTCTTTTTTCTTCCATGTGTTCCCTGCCTTCTCACATTGCTTGTGTCAAATACCCAAATTATCAATTATTTTATGGCTTTAGGATTTTGAATCACACATATGAAAGACTTTCCTTTTCCAAAATTGGAAACAAAATTTTACGTTTTCTTTCTTATCAGTAAGGTCTAACATTTATTGATTGAGAGGAAATATTTGATATCTGCTCTAAATCTAAAATGATTTGGATGCTTTCATTGTTAGCTTCCTCCTTGGTAGAAATGGCTTCAGTAGAAATTGTGGATGAGGGAGGGTGACTTATTTATTTTTCTTTGTCCCAATGGAAGGAAACCAGAATCCCCAGTTGATTCCGTGGGCCGTTGCTGCTGTTTGCATCTCACTTTTCAGTGCCTGTTTCATTGCAAGCTGTTTGGGTAAGTTATTACATTAAGTGGAACTCGCCTTGAATTATTTTCACAAACTACTTTCTAAACTTACTCTAAGCCTTTTGCTGTCTTGATTTCTCCCTTATATATCAATCTATAATGCCTTCAGGGTCTTGAGTTTACCTCTCAAATAAATAAATAATCTTTTAAAAATGATTTATTTATTTATTTATTTATTTGAAAGTCAGCGAGAGTGAGAGCGAGAGCGAGGGAGAGAGGTCTTCCATCCGCCAGTTCACTCCCCAGATGGCGGCAATGGCTGGAGCTGCGCCAATCTGAAGCCAGGAGCCAGGAGCTTCCTCTGGGTAGCAGTTACTTTAAAAGCTGCACAATGGTTACCTTTCAAGGGGAGGGAGCAGGTTCCGCTGTGATGGGGAGGTCACGGAGGCCTTGGCGACTTCCTGTGTCCTGAGCTGGGCCCGTGTTACTTGCAGAGTTCGCATTGCAATGATTTACTCTGCGGAACGTTTATGGTTTTCCTTTGTGGAACATTTGGTGATGCTTCAAATTAAAGAGATTAGAAAAATAAATGTGTAAGGCTCATAAAACTTTGCCTAACTACCTTAATGTTCACACACACACACACACACACACACACACACATCTCCATTCTAACACAAATTCTTTTTTTTCTCAACTTTTTTTTGTTAACAATTTGGTTAACAGACACAAAATTTTTCAAAGCTCTGGGATTCCATGTGATGTTTTAATACATGTATACATCATGTAATGTCCATTCAGAGTAAATACGTCCATCCCCTCAAACATCTAATGTTTCTGCTTACGGGAAAAAATCCAAAATCCTACCTTCCAATCTTTTATTTAAAGAGAGAAATAGAAGATGAAGAAATAAAATAAAAATAAAAAAGAGAGAAATACACACTATATTCCCAGTATCTGTAGTCACTGTATTGTATAATGGGACCCCAAGATTTCTTCCCGTCATTTAGCTGTAACCATCTAACACAATTACAAATTCCGAGTGGAAAATATGCCTTATTAAAATCACACATACCTAAAAGTTTGAAAATCTTCCCAGGTGAAACACAAAACGAGCAATATGATACTAAAAACATTAGCTTTCAGCAAAATTCACCTGGCGACAGAACTGAACTGAATAGAAAGAAAAGAGAACATGTGGATCTTAAGGATGAAGGTAAAAGAAAGATTAGAGAAGCTGGCCCCACTCATAATTAAGCGGTTTTGTAGAGAACAGAAACCAACTGTTTTTCCTCTTCGACAGTGACTAGTCACAACTTTCTACGCTGTAAGAGAAGCATGGGAGTGTTCAAGTTTCCAGCCTACCACAGGGAGCTCAGATGCATCAGAGAGAAATCAGAATCAAAAGGTACAGAGAGCAGAAAGCATAAGAGAATTTCTTTCTTATTTTCATATCCGTTCAAACTCATTATCTGATTTAAGGAATGTGAGTAACAGGAACGACTAAAAATAACATAAAATGCTAATCCGGTAGAGGAAGGAACAGTAACTTGAGATAGAATTATTTCTCATGACTAATTAGCTAAATCATTGGAGTATAAAACAGAATGCATTTAGGGATATTTTTGACATTCCAAACATAGAATTAATTTGATTGTATTTTCCTTTGGTTCAGGGAAAATATCACCAGGGCAATTTCTTTTTAAAATATATAATTTTGCTGAGATGTCTTTATCTTTTTTCATTATTCTAGAATTTGCAAAATCTCATCTGAGAGAATGGGGAAAATGTTTGTGTTTTGGCAGATTCTTCGCCCTGTTCAGTTAAAATGTTATCTGCAAAAGGCTCTGCTTTGGAAGCACTGATCATGTCTTCTAAGAGAGTACTTTGTAATTTTTTTCTGATGGGCAGTTTGTGGATTCAGATACTTCTGTTTAGAAGATATACAGAAGCATAACGTTTAGGATTTTCTTGGGAGAATGATTTTGGTGATCGTGGTTATTCCCACAAATGTTCATATTAAGTAACAGAACAGATGAGAGGATCCCTTTTAAAATAATTTCCATTTCAATTTTCATCCGAGGGAGCTACTGGAACTGCTGTCCTGTTGGCTGGAGAGCCTTCCAGTCCAACTGCTACCTGCCTCTTAACGACAACAGGACATGGACTGAGAGCGAGAGGAACTGCTCAGGGCTGGGGGCCCACCTGGCGACCATTGGCACAGAAGCTGAGCAGGTGTGTCTGGGGCTCCCACCAGTTTCTCCACTGCTTCGAATCTCCTTGCAGAGAAAGAGGAATTTCTTTGCTATCCACTCGCTCATGGGCTAAATACCTGAAACAGAACAAAGCCAAGAGCCCAGAACTGACTCCATCCGTGTTTCCCATGTGAGTGGCAGAAGCCCAAGTACTTGAGCCGTCACCTGCTGCCTTCCAGGGTGCACATCAGTTGAAAGCTGTATCGAGAGCAGAGCGGGGACTCAAACCCAGGCGCTCCAATATGGGTTGCAAATGCCCCAGGTGGTGTCTTACCCACTGAACCAAGTCCTTACCTCTTCCCCTTTTCCTTATGTGACCAACTTCTGGTCTCTTCCGATTTCACTGATGGGTTATTTCCTCCAGAAAACTACCTGACCACCTCCCTACTGCACCCTCCATCTTCTAAGTTGGAAGTACAAGGGTGGTACTTACGCACAGCACGGCATTTATCTCAATTTTTATTTTATTCCAGTTTACTGTAATTGTCTCTTAATGACTCCCTCTTACCCAATGATTCCTACCTGGTGGGAGGGCTGGGACCACACTTTGCTCATTTTTACATCTTCAATGTCCTGTGCAGCGTCAGGCACACTGGACAGGACTTGATAAATGGTGCGTGCACAAATCAATGCATGGTTAATAAGGACTGAAATAGCTTCTCAGAATAAAGTATAGGAAAATAGTTCAGATGCATGGTTCTAATTCTAAATACAAATCTTACAGTAAATTCAATTCTTTAAAAGCTGAAACTTATTTCCTTATGTGAAATATTTCCATAAATGTACCCCGATCTAGATTCTATGCTTGTCTTGGTGAACAGAGCTTCCTTGAGAATTTTTTCTCCTTGGCTTTGCAACCTATAAATTCACTGATTTTAAATAAAATGGAATTTAATGATTTAATGAAGTACACAAACAAGAAGGCAATTAAAAAAAAAGCTGCCTAAAAAACAACCACACTATTAAGCATTGTGCTAAGAGGGTTGAGAGTATTATCTCAATCTTTAAAGTAACTCTATGAAATAGTGGAGTTATCCTTTTTGGAGATGAGAAAGCTAGGAGTTTGGTATGATTAAAGCACTTACTAACATTACAAGAAGGATTTGAAAGAGATCTATCTGAAGCCAAAGGTTTTGTGCTTAGCCTGTTATCTATTTGATATATTTTCTTTTTCTCCAGCATGTCATCAGCTGATAAGTGTAAACATATTCATAAAAAATTATGGTTTTTGTGCAGAACTTCATTACTCCATTTTTGGACAGACAATATTCATATTTCCTGGGACTTACTGATGAGAAGACCGAAGGTCAATGGCACTGGGTAGACCAGACACCATTTAACCCACACATGACGTGAGTATCTTGATTGGGCCAGGAGGTTTTGGAGGCAAAGGTGACAAGAAGGTGGCAAGATTCTGTTTTGGGGGACTGACGCTGTGGCGTAGCAGATAAAGCCGCCACCTGCAGTGCATATGGAATGGCATATGGGCGCTGGTTCAAGTCCCGGCTGCTCCACTTCCAGTCCAGCTCTCTGCTATGGCCTGGCAAAGCAGTAGAAGATGGCCCCCAGTGCTTGGGCCCTGCACCCACATGGGAGACCTGGAAGAAGCTAGGATCAGCACAGCTCCCGTCATTGCAGCCATCTGGGGAGAGAGTCAGTGGACGGAAGATTCTCTCTCTCAGCCTCTGCCTCTCTGTAACTCTTCCTTTCATTAAATAAATAATTCTTTTTAAAAAAGAATCTATTTTGGGGTGAAATACTCTGATGTAAAAATATTTTCTGGGACTAGATTACTATGTGTTGAGTAACCTCCATAAGCTAGTCCCAGTTGCGAAAAGATCCTATGACATTAACGAAATTTTCAGTATTATTTGTACAACATCAATGAACAAATGAAGAGTGTGGGAATTATGCAATGTTTTTTACCTTAGGCTTGATGTTTGGATGAACTACATGATAACAGACAAAAAATGTTTTTGAAACTGTTATAACATTGTCATTTTCCTCCATGGAACCAGCATTTTCTAATATAAATATATAACCATATGCAATTAAAAATGTTCTAGTAGCCACATTAAGAAAAAAGAAGCAAATTAAATTCATTGTAATATTGTATCCATAATTAATAATTGTGACCGGCATTGTGGCACAGCAGGGTAAACCATTGTTTGTGATGCCAGTATCCCATATGTGAGTACTGGTTCAAGTCCTAGCTGCTCCACTTCCAATCCAGCTTCCTGCTAATGTGCGTGGGAAGGCAGAGGAAGGTGGTCCAAGTATGTGGGCCCCTGCAACCCCTGTAGGAGACCAGGATGGAGTTCCTGGTCCCTGGCTTTGGTCTGGCCCAGCTCTGGCTATTGTAGACATTTGGGGAGTCAACTGTTTTTTCCCTTTTCTCCATTGCTCTGCCTTTCAAATAAATAAATCTCAAAAAATTAATAATGTATTTAATCCAACACTTACAAATAGGACTTGAATATATAATCAATATAAAATAATTACTGAGATAATTTACATCCTTTTTTGGTGTTAAGTCTTCAAAATATAGTGTATACTAAATGTCCAAAGCATTCTCAAGATTACAGACGCCACATTTCAAGTGATTGATAGTTATATGTGGCCAATGCCTATTGTATTGAGCAGGCTAGCCCTATATCATTCACCAAAGGCATTTTCTTTGGATTGTCTTTTGATGTCTCTATCTATAGAGGTCCTCAAAAAACTTCATGGAAAGTACATATTCTGAAAAACTGCGTGGATTTCAAAATTTTTCACCAAAATTCACTCTTTTTTCAATTCCATTTCCCACAAACTTTTGGAGTTCCTCTAAATCTATATTTATACCTGTACCTATTTATCCTATGTCTATTTCTCTATTTTTTTCTTTCAGATTCTGGCATAAGAATAAACCCAGCGACTCCCGAGAAAAAAACTGTGTTACCCTTGTTAATGATCAAGATAAATGGGCCTGGAGTGATTTTCCTTGTAACTTTGAGACAAGTAGGATTTGTAAGATACCTGTAATGGCATTCAGCTAGAAACCTGTGAAATGGGTGTTCCGAGGGAGACAGCAGAGAACCAATTTCTTCAGAGCAGAATGCACATTATTGGGAAAAACCTACGGGGTTTTAGAGCATTTTCAGTCATGATGGTGTCATTATTTCTGTTCAGTTCATCAAGATAATGTGTGTGCACCAATGTGTTTATAATCATGTGGTTTTGTATGGTGTTTTGGAAGGAATCATCTTTTTTTGTGAGAACCAATTTTCATTATTTTTGCTTTCTTATGGGGTTTGAAGGTATTTCCTTTGCAGTTGGTGTGCCTTGATTTCATATCTTCACAGAATGGCTTAAAAACAAGACTTTTTGGTCATTATTCTGCTCAGATTCTATCTACTAAAACATAAGGATAGGATGTATTCTGACTGACAGTGGCAAATCATTTTTTAATGCAAATATCAAAAGTGTTTTAAAGTTTTTAATTGACATTTTTATTGTCTGATGCTTCATTTTTAGACTTTTTAGTAGCATCAGACCTTACACAGACATTCTGTGAGCAAAATTTCCCAGAACAGCAGTACAGAACAGATCTAAATTATGTGATTGCACAAGTAGACAAAGAAAGTCTATATACCTTTTTAAAAATTTACTTCTTACTCCACTCTAAGTATCTTTTCAGAACAGTGAATTGTAAGCTATGTTGAGTGAAAAAGTTTCTTTCAGAACACCTTAACCGAATTTCTTCAACGTTATAGCCAAGGGAGCAAAGGCCTTCTGAAACTGAAGGACTCCTGTTCCTATTCCTGGTTTATGATAGATCAGGAGTGTGGCCAGCTCACTCTTCATTAAAGATGAAATATATTCCAGTTAGTATTACAGAAAAGTCACTGGGAGTAACTTGGCCTCTGTACTTGGCTGATTTAAATAATATTTGGTCCGGCGCCGCGGCTCACCGGGCTAATCCTCCGCCTAGCGGCGCCGGCACACCGGGTTCTAGTCCCGGTCGGGGCGCCGGATTCTGTCCCAGTTGCCCCTCTTCCAGGCCAGCTCTCTGCTGTGGCCAGGGAGTGCAGTGGAGGATGGCCCAAGTGCTTGGGCCCTGCACCCCATGGGAGACCAGGATAAGTACCTGGCTCCTGCCATCGGATCGGCGCGGTGCGCCCGCTGCAGCGCTCTGGCCACGGCGGCCACTGGAGGGTGAACCAACAGCAAAGGAAGACCTTTCTCTCTGTTTCTCTCTCAGTGTCCACTCTGCCTGTCAAAAAAAATAAATAAATGAAAATAAATTTAATTATTTGAAGTTCCAGTTTATTAGTGTTTTCATTTACCTTGAATTAGATTCAGATTTTTAATCTATTTATAAATCAGTTGTTAAAATGTCCTTTGGAGCTATTCAGCTGCAGTTTAAAGTAGCAAGAACGTCATTTTTTTGACGATCTGAAATTATACTTCCCTGATGTATGCAGTGTTGTGGGTCAACAGAATATGGTGGTCTTTCTTAAAAGTTTTAATTGGCTGATCTGTCTTAGATCTCAACTGAAAACTTTCAAGCAGCAAATTTTTAATCTAACTTCTGTACCACTCATTTAAAAGAATTATTTTGTATATTAGTTATTGGCTTTCTGGTTTGGAATATTGATGTTTGGATTGTAGCTGTGGATGTCTACATTAAAGCTGATACTTTTATCTGAAGTGGTGCTAAGTAATTTTAATTGTATTTGACATCTTCACTAAATTATATAATATAAAATATGTTGGGGCCGGTGCTGTGTAGGCTAAGCCTCTGCCTGTGGCACTGGCATCTAATATTGGCTGCGGCTTGTGTGCCAGCTGCTCCTCTTCCGATCCAGCTACCTGATAGTGGCTTTGGAGGGCAGTGGAGGATGGCCCAGGTGCTTGGGCCCCTACACCCACGTCAGAGACCCAGAAGAAGTTTCTGGTTCCTGGCTTCAGATCGTCCCAGCTCTGGCTGCTGCTGCCAATTGGGGGGTGAGCCAGCAGATGGAAGACCTTTCTCTCTGTCTTGCCCTCTCTCTCTGTGGCTCTGCCTCTCAAATAAGTAAAATGTGTAAAAAGAGAGAGAGAAAAAAATCTCTTGCAGTAACCATATGTGGATGCTAATGAGTTTTGTATAATTACTACTATTCATTTTTAATTTGTATAAAATTTTATATAACTAGAGATTCGGTTGTTAATAAAATGTGAGCTTTTTGTGAATTTATGTGTTTATGGCTACATTTATATCTGTAGATTTTGTCTCCAACTGCTGATCCTCTTTCTCTGCCTCCATGGCCACCACCACGTAACAATCTACCATCTCTCTCCTCTGGATTATTGCAATGGTTTTTGTTCTCCCTGTTGCCACCCCGAGACCCTTTTAGTCTGTTGCCAACTCTACGGCAACTCTCCTTCACAGTTGATAGTAGTTTCATAAAAATGAGGCTAGTTAATATACAAAAAAAGAGGCTTAATTTTAGTTTTGGAATTGGGAGTCCAAGATCAGACAATCCCATCTGTTTGCCTGTGGATGTCTTCTGGCATCCTGGCAGGAGTGTGAGTAAGAGGGAGCAAGCAATCATATGATGAGCTAAAAAGCAAGAGGAGCCACAGGCCAGGCTCACAGCTCTGTGTGTGGTGTGTGTGTGTGTGTGTGTGTGTGTACCAACTGCAGTCCCATGAAAACTATAGTGATCTCCCAAGGACAGAGCCCCAGCGACCTAGTTAGCTTCCATTAGGACCCACACCAAAGGCCTCCCCACCCAGCAACATTCCACACTGGAGATCAAGCTTCCAGCATGTGACATTTCAGGCACACATTTAAACCACATTCAAATCATAGTAATTCTTTTTTAAAATTAATAAACCTCCTAATGTAAAACACTTTACAAATAAGCAAGAAAGGAATTTTCTACAAGGTATCTACCCTAAACCCATAGCAACTATTACACTGAATGATGAATCATTAGAAGTATTTTCTTTCAAGTCAAGAACAAAACAAAGTGCTCACTATAACAGCTATTTTTTATTTACTTGAAAGATTTATTTATTTATTTGAGAGAGAGAGAGAGGTTTTCCATTTGCTGGTTCACTCAGCAAATGGCTACAGTGGCTGGAACTGGGCCTATCTGAAGTCAGGAGCTTCTTCTGGATTTCCCACATAGATGCAGGGGCCCAAGCAAGTGGGCCATCTTCAACTACTTTCCCAGGCCTTAAGAAAATACCTGGATTGGAAGAGGAGCAGCTGGGACAGGAACCAGCACCCATACACAACAGTGTTTAAGCAGCAATGTGTTGGTGGTCTTAGTTAGTTCAGTATGAATAAAGGATAAGAAATGAGTAGAACAAAGCTATCATTATTTCTTTTTTTTAGATTTATTTATCTATTTGAAAGTCAGAGTAATAGAGAGGCAGAGGCAGAGAAGAGAGAGAGAGGTCTTCCATCCACTGGTTCACTCCCCAGATGGCTGGCAACAACCGGAGCTGCACTGAGCCAAAGTCAGGAGCCAGGAGCCTTCTCCAGGTTTCCCATGTGGGTGCAGGGGCCTAAGGATCTGGGCCATCTTCCATTGCTATCCCAGGCCATAGCAGAGACCTGGATCAGAAGAAGAGCAGCCAGGACTAGAACTGGCACCCTTATGGGATGCCAGCACTGCAGGTCAGGGCATTAACCCACTGACTTATTTTATTTAAATCAATACATCCAAACTATTATCATTTTATCATATAAATAATATAGAATTATTTGTTGTATATTTTACATTCTTTTTCAAATTAAATTATCAAAAATCTGTGACATATTTTACATTTACAGCATAACTCAATTAAGATCATGTTAAATAACCACCTGTGGCTAGTCACTACTGTATTCAGTTACGTAAGGAAGTTCAGTTACATAAGGAAGCTACAAAATTCACAGAAGGATGGGTGTTTGGTGCAGTGGTTAAGATACAACTTGGGACACCTGCAACCCAAATCCAAGTCCCTGGGTTAAAACCATGGCTTCGCTTTTGATTCTAGCTATTTGCTACTGCAGGTGCTGTGAGGCAGCAGGTGATGGTTCACGTAGTTGTGCCCCTGCCATGGGAGACCCTAACTGAGTTTCTGGCATATGGCTTTGGCCTTGTCCAGTCTTGACTGTTGCCGCCATTTGGAGAGTGAGCCAGGAGATGGAACATCTCTGTATGTTTGTGTCTTTTTCTCTCTCTCTGCCTTTCAAATAGTAAAATACATATTTTTTAATTCATGGAAAATAGAATGAAAAGACAATGATCACTTCTCATGAACTTTTTGAAGTTCTCTAGTATAGAAAAAAGGTTCGGCCACCCTTATTCTCCCTCACCGTTATGAGGTCTCACTCAGCTGAGGCCATCCTTCCATCTTACTCAGGAAGTTTTGAGGGAGAAAAAATAATATATATGTATTTAAAGATTTATTTATTTATTTGAAAGTCAGAGTTACATAGAGAGGAGAGGCAGAGAGAGAGAGAGGTCTTCTATCCAGTGGTTCACTCCTCAAGTGGCCACAATGGCCAGAGCTGAGCCCATCTGAAGCCAGGAGCCATGAGCTGCCTTTGGGTCTCCCACATGGGTGCAGGGACCCAAGGACTTGGGCCACCTTCTACTGCTTTCCCAGGCCATGACAGAGAACTGGATCGGAAGTGGAGCAGCCAGGGCTTGAACTGGCACCCACAGGGGATGCTGGTGTTGCAGGCGGCAGCTTTACCTGCTATACCACAGTGCCAGCCCCAATATATTTTCTTACCAGTTTCAAGGTACGTAGCTGATACCCATCTAACCAAAGACAGATTAGTAAGATAAAGGCATACAGGCTTATTTAATACAAAGTTTTATTTAACACCAAAGCCTTTAGGAATGAAGACCTCAGGCCAAGCACGTGGCACAATGGTTAAGTCAACAATTGGGATACCCACGTTCCTTATCATAGTGCCTGACTCAAATCCTGGTTCAGCTCCCAATTCCAGTTCCCTGCTAATTCACACCCTGGGAGGTAGAAGTTGATGGTGCAAGTACTGGGTCCCTGACAAGGAAACCCAGATTGAGTTCTGGGCCCTGGCTTTGGCCTGGCCTTACCATGGCTGTTGTGGGCATTTGGGGAATGAATCAGTGGATGGAAAATCTCTCTCCAGCTATTTCTGTCTCCCTGTCTCTGTTTTTCAAATAAATTTAAAATAAATAAATAAATAAAGACTCAAAGAAACAGGGAAATCTATCTATATTTTAAGTTAAACCTGACATTTATGGAAAACATGATTGGGCAAAAGATATGATCTAATGGGGAGAAACTTGGGAGAATTTACCAGGATTTGTTCAGATTCTTCTTCATCTTCCTATGTGTTCCTCTCCCAGGTATAGAGCAGGACACCTGCCCCATGATAATTCTTGAGGGAGTGAATTACTTTGTAAATTCTGAGAAAAGAACCTGAGACTAATGTGGAGAAAATTTACTTCAGTCAGTATCATGAATTCCAGCATTGAAGACAGTTTACTTTTATGAATATCAGAGTAACAAATAATTTATTTTTAAAAGATGTACTTATTTATTTATTTGAAAGTTAGAGTTATGGGCAGGGGGAGAGATCCTCCATCAGCTGGTTTCTTCCCCAGATAGTGGCAATGGACAGATCTGGGTCAGACTGAAGCCAGGATCCAGGAGTTTCTTCCTGGTCTCCCACCTTGGGGCAAGGAGCTCAAGCATTTGAATCATCTTCCGTTGTTTTTCCCAGGTCATTAGCAGAGAGCTGGACTGGAAGTGGAGCAGCTGGGACATGAACTATTATGCATATGGCGCCAATGTCACAAGAGGTGGCTTTACCAGCTACTCTACAATAAAGACCCCCAGAGTAACAAATAATTATGAAGTCCTTATCAAGTGCACTGTGTATTTCCAAGTTTTGGGGTCGTGGATGCAGTCATGTTCTTACTGCTCCACATTTAAGATGTGCCTCCTGTTCTTAGAGATTTCCTTTGTTCAAATTATTTATTTGTGGCATTTCACAAATACGAAGCATATTGAAGAAACATGGTACATCATTCCAGTTTTTCTTTGGATTTGCAGAATCCCTTATGGTGGCACAATCCTCCAGGGTGACTATGTTGTTGGGTTCACCTTCATCCCAGAAGCTGAGAAAGAGAAGAGATTTTAAATCCTGGTGAGAGGAGGTAAATAACCCAATAGAATCACCAAGTCATAGATGGACCCAGAGTGCTCAGTCGTGGGAATAACTGATCTCCTGATGGAGTTGTCTCCTTTGTACGCAAGTCTCGTATCATGTGTGGTTCTCCATGTTCATTGTATTAATCGAGGGGCACTCTTCAAGTGTGTCACAGGGCTGTAGTGAAGTGCAGCCCAGCGGTTGTACTCCTACAACTACTGATGATTAGCTATGTAAGTCATCCCTTGACCTTTGGTTTTCTCAAATATCAGATGAGCATAAATAATATTGATGTATCTTTGAGAGGGGTAATTTATGTGAGGTGAAACAATGCATGCAAAATATTTTAACACCCCCAAATTCTGTGTTCTAAGTGTGGGAATCCACCATTGAGGAGAAAAGAGATATTACTGTAGGGTTCCCACTTTCATTCCCTAATAATCTGATGTTTTTCTCAAATCACCATTTTCACACATTTACTACAATTTGGAGGCATGGGGCTCTAGATTTCACTCCTCGCCGCCTCTGCATTTTCAATGGATGATTCCTGAATTCTAACCCCCTTCTCATTTCCATCTGTTATTTTTCTTTGCTCTTGCCACAGCCCCGGGAGATTGGAGGAGAGTGTAGTTGTGTTCCTCTTGTCTCTTCTGTAACAGCTGTTCCCCTTCCTGCACCTGATGTCACCAAGGACGCGCCTGAGCGCATCCCATGTAGCAGAAGGAAGTTTTGAGAACTCCCCTCGACAGGGGTCCACCTTTAGGACTTGGGATGGCATGGAAATTCCCCTTGAGGAAGGAAGTTACCTCAGCGATTCCATAAAAGGTGTGCCGTCTACCCATTTCCACTGACCCTCGATCACCTGGTCCGTCAGCCCAATGAAAAACTCTTTCTTTCTAGGTTTTGCATGGGCAAGGAATTCCTATAAAAAAATAAGAGGCCAAGTAGCTCAATTCTGGACAAAGGTAAAAAGTAATGGTTATTAAAAGGGGCAAGGTAGGATCAAGACTAGAGACAATAAATAGGTACACCTGAAATGGTGAAGTCATTGAGGATCATATCCTACTTTTTCTTATTCTGGTAAAATATACTTAACATAGAATTAGATTAACACAAAAATTAACCTTTACCAGAGAAGGGGATTCTTGATTAAAAGTTTATCTAAGGTTTGGCCGGCGCCGCGGCTCACTAGGCTAATCCTCCGCCTAGCGGCGCCGGCACACCGGGTTCTAGTCCCGGTCGGGGCGCCAGATTCTGTCCCGGTTGCCCCTCTTCCAGGCCAGCTCTCTGCTGTGGCCAGGGAGTGCAGTGGAGGATGGCCCAGGTGCTTGGGCCCCGCACCCCATGGGAGACCAGGAGAAGTACCTGGCTCCTGCCATCGGATCAGCGCGGTGCGCCGGCCGCAGCACGCCGGCCGCGGCGGCCATTGGAGGGTGAACCAACGGCAAAGGAAGACCTTTCTCTCTGTCTCTCTCTCTCACTGTCCACTCTGCCTGTCAAAATAAAAAAAATAAAATAAAAAAAAGTTTATCTAAGGTTAGAGGAGGCCAAATCTACTGTACATATCTAGCACAAAATATTACTAATTACAGCTTAGAGATAATGCACACTTTGTGCTTGCTGTGTTTCATATATTTTCATAAACACAGCAGCCTCTCTAAAATGAACGTTCAACCTTCTGTTTCTTCCTCAGCTAACTTCATCAGTTAATGCAGGGGCCCCACATGGAAGTTACTTTTTTTCTTAGCTTCTCCTAGTAATGAAAACAAAGCTAGAGTAGGTAACGACTTACAGAAGCAGTAGGAACAGCATGCCCTCTGTACATTCATTTTACAAGTAATCATTGAGAGGCAAATCTTTTTATATGTGTGGGAAAAGGGGTGGAGCCCACAGAGACTGTTGTGCTAACACTGGAGGGGTGTGCACTCCAACTACCTGCTCCTCCTGTGTGTTGATGACCACCAGATGGGCGCCCACATTTGAGCAGCTTTTTGAGCTTGATATCCAGGACATGGTGTCAGTAGAAAAGAAGTAGCAGCTGGACTGAAAATATTTCCAGTTCAATGGACAGCAATTCTTGACTGAACCTAGGAGGAAAGAAGTTTCAGTGAGTGTCCCAGGTAAACTGAGTAAGAAAAGAGAAAGCTCCATCTGGCCCCATGCAGTTCATTATCCCCAGATTCTAAGATTCCTATCTTAGAAGCCCTTGTTCATATCCCATATCTTACTATCTAAGATGGTAGATGAATCCAATAGCAATAAACTTAAATAGCAATTTTCTTGACTTTTCAACATAATCCCAATTTTCTAGATGTCAATATCAGTAAATACAACCATATATGCAATCTGCCTTGGTCATACTACTGCTACGTAATCTTGTTACTAATTTCACAGAGTGAAGAATTTCAGCCTTTTAAGCTTCTTTCTTTCTTTCTTTCTTTCTTTCTTTCTTTCTTTCTTTCTTTCTTTCTTTCTTTCTTTCTTTCTTTCTTTTTTTTTTTTTTTTTTTACAGGCAGAGTGGATAGTGAGAGAGAGAGACAGAGAGAAAGGTCTTCCTTTTTGCCGTTGGTTCACCCTCCAATGGCTGCCGCGACTGGTGCGCTGCGGCTGGTGCACCACACCTATCCGAAGGCAGGAGCCAGGTGCTTCTCCTGGTCTCCCATGGGGTGCAGGGCCCAAGCACTTGGGCCATCCTCCACTGCACTCCCGGGCCACAGCAGAGAGCTGGCTTGGAAGAGGGGCAACCGGGACAGAATCCGGCGCCCCGACCGGGACTAGAACCCGGTGTGCCGGCGCCGCAAGGCGGAGGACTAGCCTAGTGAGCCGCAGCGCCGGCTTAAGCTTTTTAAATATAGTCAAATCTCTCTCAATTCAGTGGTGGGGATATGATATCTCAGAGAACAAAGCCACTTTCCCAGCGCCACGCAGCATTTTGCTGACACGGAACAGGACAACATGTAAGGACATTGGGAGTATATTTCTTGAGTTCTTTCCAAATTCCTTACTCTATATGTTTTTTTCTTCCTTCATCTCATTTTGGAAGTAGGCGGGTTTGTTTGTTTGTTTGTTTTTTAAAGTGTACTCCTGGAAATAATAACTTCTGTTTTTAGGCTTGATGTGAAGGCACATATCTCAGATTTATTCTGAAAGTTTATTGTAATGTCCTCAACATTTCATGCCTCAATTTTAACTTCATCTCCACAGTTTTATTCCTGAACTTTTACCGACTTCTCACATTCTCTTGCAGCACAGGAGGATTTTACATTTTGTTTTTGAAAAGTAAGATACGGCACCACTATATTTCCCTTGTCCAAAAGTCAACGTAGAGGCCTAAAAAGGTTGATGTATAAGTGCTAATGTTCAACTCTGAGTGCTGTCATACCTAATCCATCACTGTAGCAGGACAGCTGTGTGATGTTTTCATGTGGCTGGATCCTTCTCGTGTCACAGGTGAGGAAAACATGGTAAGTCACTGTAAGGAAAGGGGCACAGGGCACGTTTATGATTCATTTCTAATTAAAACAATGAGCTTGCTCCCTTTTGTATTCATAAAGGAAGTATCAATAGCTCTCACGATATCCTCTTACTGTCCACCTTTCCTTACACACGCACAGGCACTGGGACTCAATTACTCAAAGAAAGAAGAGCAAATTCAAATTTCATGGTTTTCCTGATTTATAAAGAAGAATATAATTTATTTCATATCTAAAGGCTCAGAGAGAATGAATACATTTGTGCTCACTATGCCATCTCTAGCCCTCTTAATTCTTCTTTCTAGAATGTAACGAGCTGTATCTCTGATCCTAACCAGTGAGTGCAAGCTTCAAGCTAGTATCTCCTAGTGATAGGGGTCCAAAGGGGAGGTCTTAAAACCACAGAGGAGACGAAAAATGTCTATCATGAAAAATGTGTCAAAAGCCACTGAAATTTACTGATCCTTCTGCGTTAGTTGTGGTGTCTGGCTTGAGGGATAGCCTAGATAGAAACAGTGAAACTGGAAGACTCTATAGGAGTAGAGAACCTATAGGAAGCAAAGAAAAGTTTACTACAAATATTCACTAGGGAGAACCACGTTGATTTGATCTTTAGAACCTACCCACACATCTGATGATAAAACAGCCACTTAGAAGGAGAATGGAGATGGCAGCAACAGTCCGAAAGAACGCTTGAGAAGAGAAGCATCCCCTCTCTGTAGAAAAAAAAAAAAAGACAACAAACACGGTCAGTCTTCCCTACGCAACTTGCAAAGGAGATACAAGATTTTTACTCAGGCACTTATTTCCTTCTACTTGCACTGAGTCATTGTACTGAGTAATACACTTACTGTATTGAGTAATACAATTACTGTATTGAGTAGTTCCCAAATTTCAGCGTGCATCAGAATCACTGGGAGGCTTGAGGAACCACAGGTTGCTGAGCCTCACCTCCAGAGCTAACAATTCGATCGAGTTGATATGGAACAACAGGTTTCAGGGGGCCACCGATGCTGCTGGTCTGAGGACTGTGCTCCAAGAACCACCGGTACCCCTTGTTAATTTTAAGACTCTGACTCATCAACTCCGTTAAAGAATTTTTGCTAAGTCTCCCAGTTAAAAAAATACTTTCATTTTTAAGGCTTCTCTCCTTCTTTCACTGTCATTTTCATTTCTTTCTTCCCTTTCTCTCTCTCTCTCTTTTTGTCTTTCTTCTTAGTGTCCTATTTTTCAAGTTCTTTGCAAATACAAATTAGTCAGATAAAACATCAGCAGTAATATAGTCATTTCTTTCCTCTTTCCAATACATATTTTATGGAAAAAATAAGTCCCAGAGAAGTTAACTGTCGTGCCCAAAGGAACACCACTCAATGCAGAAAGGGTAGAAATAGCAGTTTGGTAGCTCATCTGAAGTCAAGTGTAGCAAGCTTCCAGTTTAACATAGAATATTCTCTTTTCACTTGTTGAATATTGTGATTAGTGGTGAGTTAAGCCTGTAAATACAAAATTGTGTCTGCAAAAACTGATGCAAGGAAGAGAGGAGAGGGAGGGAGTTTGGGGGAAGGATAGGAGGGAGGGAGGTGTGGCTGTCTTCTTGGTACTGTACCTACGGAATGCATGAACTTTCTTCATTTTACATTAAAAAAATAAAAAAGGACAAAAATTCAAAGATCTGTATCCAACTTCGTATATGCAAATCAAATATCTGTTTGGTTTACTTGCAGGTGCAATCAACCAACTTCTATTAAAAACCAGTCTTGTAAATCTGAAGAAATCCTTCTAATGCTTATGAAATTGTATTGGAAAAGGAAAGTTTTAAGATGATAAATCTGTGGGAAATATATTTATTAAAATTCATTGCAGTTTGAGTAAAAAAAGTCTTCTGATCTCTCTGTCTCTCTCTGTCTCTCTCTCTCTCTCTTCCCCTTCTTCCTCCCCCTCCCACCTCCCTGAATTCTTTTCTATTGTCCAACCCTCCCTATATTTATAGCTGGCACCAAAAGGATACAGAGAAGAAAAAAGAGAGCTGCAAATTGTACCTGCGCACTTCAGTACAAATGATTTGGATGAGTCCATTATTTCTCTCCCTCTATTTCCAGTTCCTGAGTCCAGGAGTGTTGTGTTGGTAAGATTCAGAAAAAATGAATCTGGAAAGGTGAACAATTAATCTGTTTTTAGGTCCAAGTCCAAGAGACATAAGAATATTAACTTGTCCCGTGGCTGTGCCTTCAAGTCAGGATTTCCTTTCTTGCACAAGGAAGACAAGGGAGTATACTGAGCAACATTTCAGTTCTTTTCTCTACAGAAAACAAAAAAAAAAAAATTGAGGAAATGATGAAACTGCAAGTACAATACAAATAGGCAGACCACGGGAAAACATGAGAGGTTTTAAAAACACTGATTTGTTTTGGTGGATAAAACGTCTCTGTTTTTTCAAGACCTAACATCCTGCATTTGCCCTTGACTGTGGAGCCCACCCTGCTCTCCCTACATCACTGTGACGTGTACAATCCACATTCATTAGCAGAAAGCAAACAACCCTCAGCACATAGCTGAGCAAATAGTGTATATGTTTATGATTTAGCAATGCAAAATTTTATTTCATTTCATTTAAAAGGAAGAGAGAAAGAGAGAGAGTTAGAGAGAGAGAGAGAGAGAGAGAGAGGGGCCTTCCATCCACTGGTTCACTCCCCAAATGCCTCAACAGTCAAGGCTGGGGCAAGCTGAACTAAGCCTAGGTCTCCCTCATGGGTAGCAGGGACCCGAGTACGTGAGCCATCACCTGTTGCTTCCCAGGGATGTGTTAGCAGGCAGTTGAATCAAAAATAGAGTCAGGACACGAAACTCACGGTTTCTGGTATGGAGTGCAGATATCCAAAGCACTGTCAATCACTGCACCAAATGCCCGCCCCTAAGGCAAGATCTTAAAACCATCTTGGCTAACTATGTCTTTATATCTAGGGGAGCCAGCACCATGGCTAGCAGGTAAGGCTGCCATCTGCAGTGCTGGCATCCCATTTCCAATCCAGCTTTCTGCTATGGCCTGGGAAAGCAGTAGAAGATGACCCAAATGTGGGCCCCTGCACCTGCTTGGGAGACCAGGAAGAAGCACCTGGCTCTTGGCTTCGGATCCGCGCAGCTCTGGCCGTTGCAGCCATCTGGGGAGTAAACCAACAGATGGAAGACTTTTCTGTAATAACTCTGCCTTTCAAATAGATAAATAAATCTTTAAAAAAATAAAATCTATCTAGGATCCAATGACTTCTTTTTAGTTTTTTCTTCCATATACTTGTCTCTCTCTCTCTCTCTCTCTCTCTCTCTCTCTCTCTCTTTTTAAACCATGGATGTTTCAGAAAATATTTATTTATTTATTTATTTATTTATTTATTTTGATGAGAGAGGGAGTGCTCCCATATGTTGGTTCACTCTTTAAATGCCAAGTGCTTGCAATAGCAGGGGCTGGGCCAAGGCTGGGCCAAATTGAAGCCAGACACCCAGAATTCAATCCGGGTCTCCTGTGTGGGTGAAGAGACCCAAGTACAGGGTGCACACGGGCAGGAAGCTGGATTGGAAGCAGAGAAGCAAGGACTTGAACCCAGGCCCTCAGATATGTGGAGGATGTGGGCAACTCAAACTGTCACTTAACTGCTACTCATCCCTCCTTTTCACTTTTTTTTTTCACTGTTTCCTCCCTTTTCATTTGGAGCTCTTGAGCATTTTAGTTTTGTGGACTTATATCCCTGCTCTCGAACAGCTGGCCTTTGGGTCATTTCAGAGGTCCGCCTCAACTGGACAGCTTCATGTGATGTGACTACTTGGAAACTCAGCTCAAAAAACAAAAACCTCAGCTCAATGCCTCACAACAGCACAAGTTTCTGAAGCTTTAGGGGCTCCACAGGTGGCTTCATTCTACTGCACAGAATTACTGGGTGATTTTATTCTATATTGTAGTACAATCAGGAGAAGTGGGTCTGAGTGTCAGAAGAAGCAATGGCAGTTAGATATAGAGTGCAGAGCTTCTCCGGAAAGTTAGACCTGTGCTAGCACCTTCCTTAACACCACTTGAGAAGTAGATCACACGAGTTTCTGCTGATGCAAGGTCACAAGTGTCAGGAGGCCTGAGAATGATGGTGCTGCCTTGTAATCCCCGCTCCATGACTCAGACTTCCCACGTGTTGGAAAGTACTTTTGGTCTCAAAGGGACTTTTTACTATTTCAATGGTTTGGTTAATTTCCTCTACATTCTTTACTGTATAATACTATATATTCAAAAAATTGTAAATGACATATTTTGTAGAATATTAACATATTTAATATTTTTATTAGCAAATGACTTTTGACCAATATAAGGAGAGAAATTACCTAAAGAGTCAGTAATATGAATTATCAAATGATGACTCATAGTTATAAATTTTTTAAAGATTGATTTATTTATTTGAAAGGCAGAATTACAGAAAGGCAGAGGCAGAGAGATAGAGATAGAGATAGAGATAGAGATAGAGATAGAGAGAGAGAGAGAGAGAGAGAGAGAGGTCTTCCATCCACTGGGTCACTCCCCAATTGGCCACAATGGCTAGAGCTGAGCCGATCCGAAGCCAGGAGCCAGGAGCTTCTTCCAGGTCTCCCACGTGAGTGCAGGGGTCCAAGGACTTGGGCCATCTTTCACTGCTTTCCAAGGCCATAGCAGAGAGCTGGATGAGAAGAGCTATCAATAGATATAGGGAAGTTTATAATAATAAATTGCTGTATTAACAAAAAAGAAAGATTTCAATTTTATATCTAAATTTTGACCTCAAGAAACCAGAAAAATAAAGAACAAAAGAAGCCCATATTAGTAGGAAAAAATTAAAGGTTAGAGAAAATTAAATGAACTAAAGACAAAAAAATTAAAATTCAGCAAAATTAGCAGTTGTTTTGAAAAGATTGAAAAAAAGCAATAAACCATTAGCTAAATTAAGAAAAAAAAAGGAGGGGGTGGCCAGCTCTGTGGTGTAGTGGGTAAAGCCACTGCCTGCAGTGCCTGTTCCAGTCCCGGCTGCTCCACTTCCTATCCAGCTCTCTGCTATGGCCTGGGAAAGCAGTAGAAGATGGTCCAAGTGTTTGGGCCCCTGCACCTGTGTGGAAAATCTGGAAGGTGCTCCTGGCTTCTGATCGGCCTCACCCTGGTCATTGCAGCCACTGGGGAGTGAACCAGCAGATGGAAGACCTCCGTCTCGGTCTCTCCTTTCTCTCTGTCTGTAACTCTGCCTCTCAAATAAATAAATAAATATTTTTAAAAAGGATGTTTTGTTTCATTTCCATGCATTTGTGAATTTTCCTTTTTTATAATGATATCTAATTCATTCCTGTAGGAATAGAAAAGATACTTTGAATGATTTTAATCTTCTTCAAATTGTTAAGATTCTCTTAGTAGCCTACTCATGTGACTGTTCCTAGGGAATTTTCTGTATGTATTGAATGGAACGAATATTCAGCTGCTGTAGGACAAATTGTTCTCTATATACCTTTTAGTCCCAACTGCTGTATAGACTTGTTCAATTATGTTGCTCCCCTATTGATTTTGTGTCTGGATGATCTATTAGATGGAGTGGGATATTACCATTTCTACAGAATATCTTTCAACAACACTTCTTCTTTAGCATGTATTTAAATCTGAAGTGACTATTTTGTAGATAGCATACAGTTAATTTTTTTTTTAGCCATTCAGTCACTCTGTGCCTTTTGGTTGAGCATTTTAGTCCAAAAACATTTAAAGTAATTACCAACAACTAAGAATTTCATTGCTATTTTATTGTTTCCTGGATGTTTTATAGTTCCTGTGTTTCTCCCTTATTCATGGATTGTCTGTATTTGAGGAGGTATGTTTTGATTCCTTTTTCTTTCTCTTTTGTGTATCTGCTATTTTTTGCATGTATGTGTAGTTATTCTGTGACTTACATAAAATATTTTATAGCAATTCCAGTCTGCTCCAAGCTGAAAGCAACGTAATTTTAATCATATACAGAAACTCTATACTTTTCTTCTCTTACCCTTCACTTTAAGTAATTAATATTAGATATTACTTTCTTATTATTGTATTTCCATTAACAAGTTTCTTTGGTTACAGTTATTCCTGCTACTTTTGTCTGTTTATTTATATACTAGTGTTAAACATGATTTGTGCACCACCATATGGTTTTACAATATTCTATATTTGTCTTTATAGTTGTCTTTATGAGTGAGATTTTATATTTTCAAATGTTTTAATGTTGTTTAGGATATTTTCATTTAAATGTGAAGAACTCTTTTTAGCCCTTCTTGTGAAACCAGTATAGTGAAGATAGGCTATCTTAGTTTTTGTTTGCCTGAGAAAGTTTGTATCTCCTCTTACTCTTTAAAGGAAGTCTTACTGGGTAAAGTATTCTTGGTTGACAGCTATTTTCTTCTCACTACCTTGACTACAGTGTCTCACTCTCTACTATCCTGAAAAATTTTTGCTGAGAAATCCACTGAGAGTATTAGGAAAGCTTCCTTGTAGAGACCAGTCACTTACATTGCTATTTCCAAAATTATTTGTCTTTGACTTTTGACAGTTTAATTGTAATATTTCTTAGTGTAGAATTCCCTGGGTTCAACCAATTAAGATACTTTTGTGTTTCATGAATCTGCAGATTAATTTTCCTCTGTGGGTTTGGGATTTTCAGCCATTGTATATTTATGCCTTTTAAAAAATACATTTTATGTACTTCTTCCTTCTAGGATCCAATATGTATACATTGTTTCACTTGATGTTATTCGCTATGAAGTCCCATCAGATTTCTTCATTAATTTTTGTTCTTTTTTCTCTTTGCTATTCTGACTGGATAATTAATTCAAAATTATTTGCTTTGTGGTTAATTCATATTGTTTCAGCTTGAGCAAGTTTGTAGTTGAAGCTTTACTGAAATTTTCACTTCAGCCATTGTATTCTTCATTTCTAGGATTTCTGTTTGGTTCTTTTATGATTTCTATGTTTTTGTTGAGCTTCTAATTTTGTTCATGCATAGTTTTCCAGATTTTTGTTTAGTTGTCTGTTTTCTTGTAGCTCACCTAGCTTCTTTCAGGTGGTTATTTTTGCTAAGAAGTTTGTGCATCTCCAATTATTTGGGGATAGTAAATTGTACTCTATTAATTTATTTGGTAATGTCATGTTAATGTGATTATTTATAAATCTAGTAGCCTTGTATTGGTGTATGTGCATTTGAAGGAGCAGCCACCTTTTCCAGTTTTTGCACTTTGGAGTTAGCTTGTAAAGACTTCCCATAGCCAGTGTGTTCAGAG